GAGGAACAAGATAATCTGAGATACCTGTGCCCCTTTGCGAGTTCTGGGGTACAAATGCAAAGGAAGGGTTTAATTAACTTCTCCCTAAGTATAGTTAACATATGTATTAAAACTGTCTCAAAACAAGAAAAGTATCCTCAAAAGCCTTGTTTCAACCAAGAGATTAATTCCTAATTTTAATTGTGGGATTATTCAAATGCAGAAAAAGTCTTTTAGATATTAAAGGCATTGCTAGCTGGCTTTCAGTGCATTGCCACAGGGAGTCTTAGAATCCAATTATCTCTGAAGAAATATGTTAAATATGCTCATTAACATGTAAAAAAGTGGAAACGTGTATTAGAAAAAAGCTGATATATTAAACTTCTTAATGTCACAATGAATTAGCAATAAGGAAGGTTGCAACAGAAATAACTTGCTGAAATGCCTAGGCAGCATAGGAAAATAAAGCATTTTATTCCAATTAGCTTAATTCCCGATAATGACACAGATGTAGCGATAAAACTCTTTGTATAATGGGCTCCAGCCCTCGGAAAGTTTAGGAATCATGTTTCGTGTATGGAACAAGGCAAGAAAAGGGAGGTAAGCCTGAACCTCAGTGTAAACTGCCCTCAGGGCTCAGCAGGCAAAAGAAAGAAGGAAAAAAACAGGAAGAAAAGGCAAAGGAGGCACGTTAGGAAGGCAATAACCACAGATAAAACCTCTGCGTCCCATGGCTGCACAGAGTGCAGGCACTAACCAGGCATTTGCTTTTTCTTTTAACCTCCCAAAGCAAGCCCCATCCATTCGAGCCCCGAAGCCTTCCAGCTCTCCAAAACCCATATTTAAATGCTTTCTCACATTAAACCTTCAGTGCGGCACTTTCCCTCCTTCATCAGCGCTAACCTACACTTCTGCTCTTCCCTGCTGAGCAGGAACAATCAGAGTCATGCAGGAATAAACAGTAATTTCCTGCTTTATTTTTTGTTGAGATACCCGACCGCTCTGCCCTAACTCCCACCCCTTTGAGCCCCAGACCTTATACACCCCCAAGTCCTAACACCCAACACCAGCTCAACACCAAATTACTGCCTGACACACGCTCACCGCATACCCCCGACTGCTGGCAATGCGTTTTCTGCGCCCATTCCCTCCCAATGCCTCCTTCATCTGCTTCTTCCTTGCCTCCCCATTAACCGAGGAGTTGAGCAATTTTCCAGATCCACAAGGTCTTCAGGCAGAAGAGAGGAAAATAACCCTGGCCTGTCTGAGGAGGCACTAGTTTCCTAGTTATATTTTCAAAGAAAAGAATTTTAGGTGAGGTTGGTATACCTGAAGTTTTACGCATCAAAATACAGCAGGAGAAATTTAAGCATGACCTAAATTGTAGATCTTCAGCGATCACCATGGTGGTAATAACAGCTATTAAACTATTTAAAAGCTGCTACATAACCATACACACAGATTTTCCACACCTTTTTTCTGTACATCCGACACGAATCTTGCTCCAAATGACCATGCCAAAGTCCCAGTGGGGCCGTGAGCCAGGTGCCACCTCCAGCTTCACCCAGCCCTGGTGCACCTCATTCCTCCAAACCCATCCCAGCTGCGCAGTCCACAGCCCAGGGAACCACAGCTGCCCCTCATGTGAACACACAGACCAGTGTGCTTAGAATATCTTTTTGCCCACAAAACAGAAAGATAGGTGGACTGGACAGACGTGGATAAAATTAGGCGATCAAACCGCTTAAAGAAAGCAACCAGAGAGCATTTTACCAGCAGCCTAAGCTTGAATACACACTGCCTATCCAGAGAAGCTGGTTTGCTCAGTGCCCCAATGCATTTTCTACAGGTGAGCTCAGAAAACAGAGCTCCTTCAGCAAATACACCTCAAAGATTTGTGAATATTAGTGGAGTGAGTTTGCCAAGCAAAGCACTGCAAACTTGTTCCCTCCTCCGCCACACCATACACCTTACCTCCATGGTAAACCCACCTTGGAAAGCCAGCCCCAATTAACATGCATTTTGGCTGCTTCAAATGCAAACTCCCAAAGTGTTTATTCTTCCCTCAAGTG